GAAGCAAGAATGAGAGATATAGAAGAAGCGAGAAGAGAAATAAGAGCAAGAGAAAATGAAGGAGAAAGTCGATAGATAAATTTATTAATTTTTATATATTATATATTATTATATATTATGAATATTATAATAAATGTGCATACAGAATATAAAAATTTTTTTAAAAAATTCGATTTATATATATTTATTATATTATTATATTTTTTTACATATATTTTTTTATATAATAAAGATTTGATGAAATATTGCGAAAAATAACAATTAATTTAATAGTATTTGAAAAAACTAAATACTAATCTAATAATTTGTAATTATAAATATCTGAAAAAAAATGAAATTCGTAAAAATAATTCGAAAATCTTTGGAAAATTCTGAAAATTTGTTGTCATCGAAACTAAGGAAAAATAAAGATAAAGGATGTTAGAAACAGTATTGAATAAACTGATTCAATCCCTGTCACTGTTTTCTAAATAAGCATGTTAGCGTCCGAGAGTATCCAACTTCTAGACAGCAAGGTTATAAATAACCTGCTGAGCGACTACTCTGTTACTCTGAAAACTATGGAAAAGGCAAAGACACAGCAAAGTTATGAACATAACCTGCTGAACGAATACCTGTTACATAGGAACACAACAGAAAAGGCAAAGCATCGCAGTATAAGAATTGCGTTATTCAAGAAAAGGGACTCTACCCTAATCTATAATTTAACACAACCAAAGGGACTCAAGAAGTTTCGTTGGAGTCTCGGACGACCAAAACCAACATACTTACTTGAGAAATAAACAAGTTTTGAAAATTTCCGGAAAATTTTTGTCTTCTAAAATTTCTAAAATTTCATGAATAGTTTTTGAAAAAGTTCGAAACAAGATAAACAAGATCATTTAGGTAAATAAACAAAATCATTTTGTGTTACATATTTAGTCTATTAAACGGAATATTACGTTTTTCATCGAAAATTTACGAAAAGCTTTTCGTAATATTCCGTAAAAATTAACGAAATCTTTTGATGTAAAAAAATTTCGAAAATTTCTGCAAAAATTTTCGCAAAATTTTACATCAAAAAATTTCGAAGATTTACGAAAATTTACGGAAATTTATGTAAAAATTTATGGAAATTTTACATCCCGAAAACTTACGGAGTTATCCGCCCTTAAAAATTTCCTGATGCAATTGAATCTATATATGGGTGACGAAGTAATTCAGATCAACATACTCCATACTTTATGAAATAAACATCTCTTATTTCTCTGGTATCACATCTAAGCTATTCTTAAGTATATTCTCTATATAACTAGAGATCTGTTAGTTCTGATAATCATTGTTTAGAATCTTGTATATCTCCATAATGAGTTTTTTTAAATATCTCACTATATTGACTTCTTTTCAAACACCTGTGACATTTCATTACTGAAGATCTATGCCCAAATAACTTTTGTGTAACTGAAATATCAAAAAATCTACTATTATTATAACTCCTATATCGAGTCTATCCTTATTTTCATATATTTTAAAAACTCTCCATCTCTTCTATAATTCCTTAAGGTTATCAACTATCAATGATAGATAATGATTAATTTGATTTTTATCAGCTTCCTTAGGTCCTGGGAGAAAATTTAAATAAATTATATTTTCAGGTTTATTTTTTTAGCTCTAGGGAGATTACATATCGAAGTATAAATAGCACTAGTATTATATTGTATATACTTGAAAAGTTGAAACCAGTCTAAATTTATTAATAATCCTAAATTTGAGGTGGCAGTTTCTAAACTAAAAAATTTGTTACTATCAAAAGGAAAAGAATTTCAAATTCTCTTATCATATATATCAACATAGATATTACTGTTATAATTTTTTGCGCTCGATTGATCAAGCATTTTTTCAAAACCTGATCTCTAGTATATGATACTTAATTGTTGTTTGATTGAAAATTTAGAATATAATATTTAGAAAATAACTACCATATTTTTCATATTTCTTTCAGAGAGAAAAGTTTATTATTACATAAATTCTTATAAGTAGGTATTGGATTGTTAGATATTCTTCATAATGGTAATGCATAATTGTCAATTTATTATTTTCCTTATGATTACATATAATCATTGAATCATATAATTTATAACAATTTGTACAAACTGCCATCCTTAATTTTGGTTGAAAAATTCCTAACTTCTTTTTTACTATAAATAAAGAAGTAGGAAATTCACAAAACTTAGAATCATCGATCATCATAAGCATATTGTTTAAAAACTTAATCAAGGCCTCCAGAGCTATATCAGGTATCTGGTACCTTTGTTGAAACTTAAATAACCACAAAAGTATCTCTACATCTAATTTATCTTTTAATTCTGTTCCTTCATAGCCTTCATTGTCACATTCTAGCTCAGGTGCAGCAAATAAATTATCATCATCTT